GGAATGATTTATTCCCCATTTTGCCTGTTATTGTTTGTGTTTTCCTCTGCTTCTGACCCTGCAGCTGAGCCTCATTTCTGTTTCTCTGCAGGGTGCTGCGCAGTGAGCACACCTGTGGCTAAATCGAACGACAGACATAATGTGCAAAGACAGCAGAATGCATAATTTTATCGTGTTATTTAACAAAATATGTATGATTTTCAAAGGTTCACACATGGGACTGGCAAGTGTCAAACTGCAGCTGTCAAATGCACGTTTTATATTGACAGACAAATGTTTGTTTCTGATCAGAGGAGGGCAGCCAGTCACCGATTACTCTACTATTACTCTGTACTGCAGATTTCTCTTCTCTCCATCCATTCACTCCTTGTACTTTCCACTTTCATCTCCACCACTCTCTTGTTCCCTTCAGTCCCCATGCATCTCTGCGGCTGTTTCTTCTTTTCGCTCACATTGTTGGCTGTACATTTGGACAAAATCCAAATGTACAGCCAACAAGACCCCCCCAGAATGACTCTCTTCCATATCTTTCTGTCCTACCTTTAATCCCTTTTGGCTTTCTTTCTTTTCATATTCACTTGCAACCATGTGATCTTTGCTGCACATGTCACCCTTTCTTTTGTACATCTTTTCATCCATACTTATATGATGAACCTGCTCCCTTAACCCTTCCTCCTCATCTCCATAGTAGGTTCAGTGATTGAAATGTTTTACCTTATGACCTTATGCATCTGCATGTACCCTCAGACACATTCACAAACACTGACTCCAGGTCTTTCTTATTCCAATATGGTCTCCTGATAATGTTGCGGGTGAGTTTTGGGTGACACAAACACACACATTACATTGAATGAAATGTCTGAACGCTGTATTCATTAGTTTTATTTTTTTTGTTCTAAAGCAGTGTTTGCATTTTGAATAACTATTGATTACACATGAGGCCTTGGATTATTTAGTCGATTATTTATAATAGTCTGTTGTGGCTACTGATATTTTTACAGGAGTCTTCTCAGCCTCCTCTTTCAACACCTTTCAAAGCTTTAACTTCCATAAAGTTTGATGGTTTAATTGAGGGATAACAGACTTCATTTTCCAACACACACACACAACATTTACCCTTTCACACACACGGATACACACACCCACTCTTACACAAATACCAGGATGCTTGTCTTACCCCTCAGGGCTTTTCTTCATCAGATAAAAGATTAGTCAACAGTTTTTTGTGCACATTCTGTTCTTACAACCTCTCAAATAATTGCCCAGGGGTCATTGCATGCAAAAATAACCAAATCACTCCCCAGCCATTGGCTGCACCTCCATACCTATGCAAATATCATGCAATATCTTTTCTGTCTAGAGATTTCCCAGCCACAGCATTTGTTAGAAATGTATGAGCACTAAGCTGAGTCACGTAGGGTCACCCCAGGCTGCTTTTCACACTAAGAAATAGATAACAGAAAATATGGATGCTGGCGCGCTTAAATTAATAACTTATCATGTTCCTTAAAAGTTAATCTTCTACTGATGACACACTCTGTTTTTACAGCCCAAAGTTTTCCTCTACATAGTAAAAAGTCTAATTGTTAGGAAGGCAAATATCATGCATAGAACACTGGACTGTGCACTGTTTTCTTCATCATGCAGCTGGCAGGTGTCTCAGTGCTTGGTGGTGGCTTTGACCCTCAGTTTACTGGAAGTGGCACCAAAGGGAGGGAGCATGTAGTTGCCACCAAGGTGACTTGTCATACATTTTCTCATATTCTGCTGTTGAATTTGGACTAGGTCAGTGTTTTGTACTCAATGGGGGGGGGGGGGCACTGACATATTTGTTTTTCAGTGTGTATCTGTCATGCAGATGCTATGCTTGATCAGAAAACAGCTGTTGCTGTTGCCACTTCCCTGAAGTACTGAAGGGGGTTTTTACAGGTTTACAGCTGCAAACACCAGAAAATGTTTGTCTAATTTGATCATTTGGAAGGAGCCCTTGGCTGCCTTTTGTCATTGACAAAAATCAAAAGCTGAAATATCCTATGATCATTATAGCAGTTTTACAACACAAGCCATTGGCAAGCACAGCAAAGGGGTGTGTCCTGAAAGTAAGGGAGCTTTATGAAATGAAGAGGTCAATAAGGGATCACTTTTATTTATCCCTTCAGTAAACTCTTTTAACATAAACTGAAGATTTGCTTAGTTTACGGTAGTTCAATTAGTAAATATATACTGGGTTCCTCTAAAAAGGAAACTTTATTTACCTTTTGCAACTCTGACCTGAAATATTCTTTAGTTCAGAGACTCCAATGCATGGTTACTCCAGTACGATTCTGTTTTGCTGTTTTCTATAGTTATTGCTGACTCTGTAGAGAGGTTTGTTGTTGCAGATGTTTTGATTCATCGTGTGTGTGTGTGTGTGTGTGTGTGTGTGTGTGTGTGTGTGTGTGTGTGTGTGTGTGTGTGTGTGTGTGTGTGTGGTGTGTGTGTGTGTGTGTGTTGTGTGTGTGTGTGTGTGTGTGTGTGTGTGTGTGTGTGTGTGTGTGTGTGTGTGTGTGTGTGTGTGTGTGTGTGTGTGTGTGTGTGTGTGTGTGTGTGTGTGTGTGTTAAATTGATGGAGTAGTTGGTCTGGAAAACCCCTCTAGGGACAGAGAGGAGACAGCAACCACACAGCTGAGACCACTCCCACTAGTCCTGTGTGTGTGTGTTGGTCGCCTAGACAAATAAAGGTAGGCATAATGGGCACCATTTGCCAGCTGAACTCCTCTCCTTGCGCTTCCCGAGTCACAAACACATACACTTCATTGTTTTGCAGTTGTAGCTGCAGCATTACTCATTATTTTTGATCTATTTTGTACTCCTGTCCCAAAAGAATTGATGACTCTTGACATCACGCAAAGGCCCAAAAAACAAACCCAACACATGATTCATGTCTTACCAGTGTGACTCATGTTATTTTGGTTCACTAACAAGATGTGCAGCTGTTCTTTGGTTTTTATGAGAAGTGTTGCTTCCCGTCTGATACATTCATCCTTTAAACTCAAGACCCAGACTTCTATATTTTCAAATCTTACTCTATTAGGTATTTTATAAGTAAGGAAAAGTCCTGATTAAACACACAATATATCCTCAATGCTATACATATTTTAAACGTAAATTTAAAGTTAGTAAAGTATTCTTTTTTTCACTATTACAGATCTGTTTTCTTAGGGCACACTCACACTAGCAAAGTTGTCCCGTACCGATTGTCCCCCCTCCTCATTCCCCCGCTGGCCTGCACTCACACTGCTCCAGGACTAACCGGGCCTGAGCACGGTTGCCTCTTGTACATAATTTCGTAATACAACACATGCATGGTAATTAAGAAGTGTGCTTAGTTTACAAGACAGGTGGACTCGAGAGGGGGAAAAAAATGTCCGCGTCCGCACATCGGAGAACAAGACAGCTACTTTAGCGACTTTGCAGCTTATTTTGGGTAATTTCACTCAGATACAGCCAGGACACTCTGGGATTTCTCCATAATGAAGGCTGTCAATGGTGTGTACCCTCGTGCTTGTGCTCGTGCATGAAGTGTACCATGACAAAGGAAACCTCTTTGAAGTGTGCCATGGCCAAGGAAGTGTACCGTGCTTGAGAATCGGATCACTCACACTAGTCAAACGAACTGGACATTAGGGGTAAACTGTGCTTGGACATGGTACGGATTGCCTAGTGTGAGTGCACCCTGATTGGTCTGTTCCTATCAGGCGTCACGTGTAATAACTGAATATTTTGCAGCAATTTGATCAAAAGAAAAAAAAATGTCTTCAAACTGAAATATTACTCTAATTACAGGCAACCAGGCATTATAAAAGTTTAACATTTCAATTCCTGAAATTTTAAGATTCCCATTCATTATATCACTGTGTGTATGGCTGTGTTTTGCTGTCTTTTTTTTAAACAGAGGGGTTGGGATGCCAGTTTACCTGGGGTGTGGTTGGTTATCCTCCCCCCTCCTCCACATCCTAGGACCTGCTGTGTGTGTCACAGAATAGTACTGCTGGTGTGTATCAAATTAGGAATGCAGGAAATACAGTGAGAGGGGTGTGTATGCTTGACTGCAGCAGGAAAGTGGATTCTTAGTGAAATATCTGGTTCAATGTGGCAGAAAGGGGCAAGCTTGAAGCTCCCAACCACTGCTGTGCCACATCTCTTTGAGTATGTGTGTCCGTGTGTCTCCTGGCAGTGCCATGCAAAGCCTGCCTCCAATGTCTTGAGCAGCAGTCGAGCTTAACATCACAAGGGGAATCACACCACTTTGTATGTGTGTGTGTACATGATTTTGCAAGTTTAACTCTTAAACGTGTAGAATTGTATTACAATGTTTACATGACAATATCTAAATTAATAAAAAAATGACTAAACATATGTTTTATAAATATTTATTTTGAGTACTTACATTACCTAGCAGAGAGAGACCACCCATGATTCCCCGCAAGCCTCAAAGTCATCTTTTGTTATTGTTTTGATTGAGAGCCACCCGGCGAGTCTACATACTGTGCCTTTCATTTTTACAAATAATAAAATAACTTTATTTAGAAAGAATATGAAAGCATGTGGCATTGCTACAACATTGTTATCTACTGGCTAAATCTAATCCCTAATTGTAGAGATAAAATAATCTCCTTTTTAATGGGCTCCCAAAAATAAAAATAAAACATTTTGTATCAGTCGCTGAGAATACAAATGACACCAACAAACACATAAATACATGTAAAATACATGTTTCCTGAAAACCCTGTGAGTTACTGAATCTCATATGATAATATGGGTGTGACATTTTGAGGTTTGCTGACCCACTACATGTTTCAGACTCAAAGAAAGGGGTTATATGCTTTTGTTGAAGCTTGTTCTTCTGTGTTGATCGCTTACATGTAATTTGTCTGATATGTCTCTCTCTCTCTCTCTCTCTCTCTCTCTCTCTCTCTCTCTCTCTCTCTCTCTCTCTCTCTCTTTTCCTCTTCCTATAGATGACCCAACAGAAGCAGACCTGTGGTTGCTCAACAGCTGCACTGTGAAGAACCCTGCAGAGGACCACTTCAGGAACTCAATCAAGTAAACTACTACACACAATACATATTTGGAATGTTTGACCATAAAGTAATTAATTAAAACCAAATTAGCATTTTTGGATTAAAAAAAAAAATAAACATGTCTGGGGCACCGTATGGCCTGGCGGTTGTGTCGGGCGCTCCATGTGCAGAGGCTGTGGTCCTCGGGGCATCGGCTGTAGGCTTCAGGTCCGGTCTTGGTCCAATGCTGCATGTCATCCCCAACTCTCTCCCCCAGATGTTTCCTGTCTTTCTTCAGCTGTCCTGTCCAGTAGTAAGGGCAAAAATATATATAAAAAATTATGTCAAGACTAGTTTCATTGATTGCTGGTACATTATCCAGCTCATGGTAGATTTCATGTCAGTTTGAGACACAATTATTAAGACAAAAGTTAAGTACTTAAAACATTGAGACAGCTTCTAGAATACCTTTAAATACAATAAGTATTACACCTTTTATACCCTTAAAAAATTAAGAATACATTTCCTTTACATAGGTCCTTGAATATTTTTTTTTAGATATTTTTCAAAATTTTGTCTTCACCAGTTTAGTCAAAACTAAATAATCATGAAGCGTTTTAAATGCTTACGCTCCAGTCTGTCAGATTTTTGCTTTAACAAGTTGAGTTTCTTCATGAATAAATGAAGATATTTTTGTGTGTTTGCAATACATATGTGCTACACCTTTTTTCAATTGTTGCCAAATGTCAGTTTCTACATACTCAAACTCTCACACAGGAACAAAAAGAGAACAGAGGAACACTCACATATTTGTATAAACAACGAAATTAAGTTGGAAATTGTTTTTCCTTTTAATTAATTTCCACCCATTTGGGGCACACACACACATTCACACACATGTGTGAATGTGTGAGAGAATGTCACAGGGTCTGTCATTGGAGGATTGTGTGTTAGTGTCAGTATTTAGCTTTTGGAAATAGTTTTCAGATTTACTTAGACCCCGAATTCTGTATCTTTAAAGCCCTCAGATAAGGGTAACAGTTTTAAGTGTCGTTATATTAACTGTTCGTGTATCCACTATGAATTAATACTTTTTTACCATCCACACTCTGTGGTTCTTCTTCTAAAAAAAATAATCAAATATATACATTTGTATTATGTCAACTCTAGATTATTCACTCATGCCAGTCCCCTTGGTGCCATTACAGGATCTACACGTTAACGCACCCCATGTACTGCTTTTGTTTCTGAAGTTCACACAACATCAATGGCCTGATAATTGAATCATCTTTTTTATTTTTAAGTTGAGGAGTAACTTTTCAAACATACACAAAACATGGAGTTTTGTGTACGTTTGGTCACCTCCAAAACCCTCCCGCCTCATTTACCTCAAAACTGCCACAGCACATTTGTCTGACATGTGTGAAAGAACAAATTACAGGCTTTTTAGTTCGTTTGCTCTTGTGTATGATTTGCATTTTAAACTGAATGGAAAAAGCAATTTATCATCTGTAACATTTTACATGTTGGATATCTGAATAATCAGAACTGACTAACTTATCATAAGGCAGTATTGCAGATTTGGAGGGAGGCAATTTCTCTTGGCCACCTTGATCAAAGCAATCTTCCTGTCATCCTGCTTCATCTGTCTCCTCGTGCTCGCTCTCTCTTTCACGTTTCTGTCATGGCAAATTCTACACACAAAGAAATTCCAATTGAATTGCACAAAATAATAACACACTTCAAGACTTTAGAAATGTCTTCCTTGTTGATGCCAGAGTTTTCATTTGACTGGAAATCACCCAGCTGTAATGCTAATGCAATTAATGCTCTATTCATTGGGAGGGACACACAGAGACACACACACACAGACACACACATGTAGCAGGAAGAAAAACTTTTTTTTATCACTTGCATGATGGAGACACATAATGAGGGTCTACGTGATCAGAGGGAATCCACATGCCCACTTAAGTTTTCCTTTTTTTTGGTGCCTTGATTTTTCCTTGGCATCTCCTCAATATATTGGAAGGGAGGAAAAAAATCAGAGAAGGCGGAAGGCACAAGGCTGCCTCATGCTCAGTCACACGCTGGCCATTGTGACTGCACCTCCTGGTACCACACACACACACACACACACACACACACGTCAAAGGCTGAGACCTTTTTTGGTGGTCCTTAAAGACAAATTGATCTGTTGAATTACTTTTCTTTTGAATGCTTTTAAATCTTATAACTGTACAAGTACTCCAAATTGAAGAGGGTAAAGATTATTTTTCACAAGCACAAGGTTTATGGGTAAGTTTGACATTCAACAGCAGACATTGAAAACAATAGCAGACATCATACAAAAATTCTCAGGCATCAGAATAAACAGTATCAAGTAAATAAATAATAATGTATATAACCATTTTTATGTATCAATTTTTCATCAGTCAAACCGTGAATCTGTACTAACACGTTCGTGATATGGACTGAATGAGTGATTTAATACTAAATGAGGAAATAAAACCCCATTTCTCTGTGAGAGGGAGCAAACAAATCCGGAGTTCATTGAAGAAAACCGACCATAGTACCTGACTCAGAGCTTAAGTTAGCATGTTTTCTGGAAAGGGCTTAAGTTACCCCTCTTTCTCGGGTTTGTGTGACCTCCCATTCTGAAAAGGAATTCCCTCAATTTTCCCCAATGTGGCCCTCATTTCAGTGTAAACAGACTTTGCACTAATCCTGCTTTCTGAAATGTGCCTCTGCTGTCCTGCTCACCTTTTCAGGAAAAAAAGAGGCCGTTATTAACCATTCTCTAGCACTTTGTCACAGCTACAATAAAATATTAAATGAGACTGGGTAGGCCATCCTAAAGCGAAGGACATTGGATAACTTGTGTTGACTCTAACCTGTGTATGTTGTGTTAATTTATTGAATTTCATTTTTAAATACTGATCAATGACCAGTTAATGCACAAGTGTGTTACACGTTCGAGTTGCTGTTTTCTTAGCTTTGCTTCCAGAGTTCAGTTGGGTTCTGTGTGTGAAAACACCCTGCATTTGGTTATTTTGTCCATTATACTGATGCTTGTGTGTGTGTGTGTGTAAAACAAATTGTCCCCCATGGCTGCAGCATGTGGGACATTTTGTGCAATCAACAGACACACACACATGCACACACAAACAAAGGCATGGTCACAGACATGTTGATCAGTGTCCTGGTAAATGAGTTGAGGGGTTTCAAATGAAGCACAGGGGCTTTCAGGAGTCTTCTATCATGGTTTAGAGAGACACAGTGAAAATACGGTTTATTACTTCTGGAGAACTGGGGCTTAGTTGGCATCCATGCCAAGTGTGTGGGATAAGGAGTTGTGGCGTTGTGTGTTTCTGTATGTGTATGAGGGGTTTCAGGTGGATGGATGCCCAGGCAGCTTGAGTTAGTGCGTATGTGTCTGTGTTTGCTTTTTTCCCATGTCCTCATGTGAATACGAGAACGCAGCACAAATTAGTTTTGAATAGCTTTAGGTTGAATCAAGTGAGCCCAGACATTTGTTTCTCTGTTCAATGACACTTAGACCAGGTGGAAGACTGGTTTTGTTAATGTAATCAATCACTAATTATTAATATTGTATAAAAGCCTTGAACTCTAATTTCTTTACTTAATAATTCCTATCTGCTATGTTGTTCTACTGCTCCAAACTGTTGCCATCAGCATTTTTAAAGCTAAGTTGGCTCGGATCATTATGTTGAGCATGCAGGGGTGAGTGAACATGTGTGGGAGATGGGATCCCCAGGAGCTTCTTTTCAGAACGATGGTGCTGCCCTGATGTTCACTCTTTCAGCAGGACTCTTATAGAGCATCTAAATGCTAAAAAGTCAATTAGTATGGATATTTGGGTGTATCCGTGTGTGCTTTTGAAATGCCTAAATCTATAGTGTAATTTAATGTCAGAGACCTCACAAATCAATGAATGCGGAATGCATTAAAGAAACAGTTGCTCAACAGCATGTAATTAACCTGCTGTGTGTGTGTGTGTGTGTGTGTGTGTGTGTGTGTGTGTGTGTGTGTGTGTGTGTGTGTGTGTGTGTGTGTGTGTGTGTGTGTGTGTGTGTGTGTGTGTGTGTGTGTGTGTGTGTGTGTGTGTGTGTGTGTGTGTGTGTGTGTGTGTGTGTGGGATTTCTCCACTTGGCTGTCTCCAGTAATTTGTATGATCAAGGGAGTGTATGCTTAACGAATTAGAACCCAACTCGGAATTCTGTACTTCTGTTTTCAAAATACGCCAATTCCCACATTATATTTACATTCATTTGAATAAATTTTTATATTCATGAACCCAACCCACAAGAAAGAAAAAAATATTTAAGTTAATTGAAAAGGGACACACAACACACAGAATGAACTCTTGGAAGAAGTCCAAAGTGTATGTGCTGTGCTCATATTGTGTGTTTAGAACACATGTGTAGGCTGGTTGGTGAATATATATTATGGCCCCTGACTACAGGACATGCTGTTGTTGGCTCACTGTTATTATGGCTTGGCAGATAACATTTTTTACAAATTTAAAGGGGAGACCAAATCTAACCACAAGTACGCAGGAAACTTTCCCTAAACTTAGCCCCTTTACGCAGACGCTACAGGTCTAGTCATAGCAAGTTATACGATAAAAATGAAGAATTTAACAGAGTGGGTCCTAGTTATGGTTGTGCTTTATTGTTTTGATAATATCGGAGGAGAACAGTCCCCTTTGTCTGTTATTTCACTTAACAAAAAGGTGATTCTTAAACAGAGGCCAACTGAGTAAGGAGGGTTTTTAAGGTGACCAAACGTACACAAAGCTTCAGGCCACAGGCGTCCAGTTTTATTTCACCTTGTTCAGTGACAGTTATTTTAGTTGGGAATCGACATTCAGAAATGCCATACAAGGACTAGCTGTATCCCATGGACTCTGTGTATGTTATGTTCTATTGGTGCCACCAACCACTGAGTTGATGACGCCCTCTCTAGTAAATGTGTTCCCCCTGCATGTGCCGCAGTCTGTCTCTGGTGCGCCTCAGGAGT